TTGGTGACCTCTCTGAACCCCCCCCTCACAACCCCCCCAGGTGTTCTGACCCCGAGGTTGAGAAACACTGTTCTAGATCCTCCAATGGAACACAATGGGCAACCTCCTCTATTAATTTATTTATGGTATTTTATATCTATCCCACCCCGAGGGGGACTCAGAGTGGCTTCCAATTTTGGCAAATATTCAATTCCATAATTATACAAAAAATCAAATAATACATTACATTAACCATTAAAATCAAATAAACATATAAAATACAAATTAAAACCAATCAAGATATATAAAAACATATATACTGTATATAAACATATATAAAAACATAGCACCAAATCATCATCCAGGTTGCTTCTCATGTCTGTTGCACTTTAATTTTATTCTTGCCAAACGTCTGCTTCCACAGCCAAGATTTTACTTTTTGTTCAAAAGACCAGGAGGGTGGAGACCTATCTGATGTCACTGGGGAAGGAGTTCCACAACTGAGGGCCACCACCAAGAAGGCCTTGTCTCTCATCCCCACCAATCACACCTGCAAAGGGGGTGCGACTGAGAGCAGGGCCTCCCCAGCAGATCTTAACACTCAAACTGGCTCTAAGAATCTCCAGGTCCACCAATGAATTTCTATGTTTAGCTTCCAGTGGAGGCTTACCTAGGCTGGAAGACCTAGAAATTCATAGAAAGATTTTTTCCTCAGGTTAAAAAGTAGCAGTTTCTTTACTTCTGGTTTTTAGCTTTCATGTGCTCTTACTCCCAGGGAATATGGAGAACTGCTTGTAATTATAGAGCATTGAACACTAATGTATTTGTTTGTTTGTTGGATTTATATCTGCTTATCTTAAGGCAGTTCTGGTTATTTAAAACCCACATCAATTTGCTATTTTTAGTTTAATCTGTAAATATTTTTCAGTATCCAAGGCTCTGTTTCAAAGGAATCCGAACCTGAAAAGAAGTATCAAGGTTGCAGAACACTTGCCTTGAAGCATTTTCTGTTCATTAAATATTCCAGAGCACTGATTTGTCGCAGGATGCTTATAGATTGAGAACAAGCGGTATTGGATTATGGGACACCGGGAGACCAAGGTTCCAATCCCTGCTCAGCCATGGAAACTCACTGAGTGATTTTGGGCAAGTCACACACTCTCTGCCTCAGAAGAAGGAAATTGATTATGGGTTTTTGTAGGTTTTTCGAGCTGTATGGCCATGTTCATGCTCTCTTGACATTGCTTCAAGAACATGGCCACATGCTTCTAGAACATGGCCATACAGCCCAAAAAACCAACAACAACCCAGTGATTCTGGCCATGAAAGCCTTTGACAATACATCAAAAAAGATTCTGGCAACAAAACCCTGTTATAGGTTCAGTTTTTGAGTCAACATAAATCAGAAATTACTTTAAGGCACATAAGAACAACAACGATAAACTTTCCAATTAGGCTTTATTCATGGGATGAAGTGGGGATGCTCAATTTGCCTCAGAAGGTAAAAGATGTACTATAAGAGAGCTATACCATATCTTTTGCGTAGTGACATCACACATATTTTTATTTTTGTGCAACATACTCTATTCCTTCAGTATCTGATCTCTTTAACCTCCTTTCTTCCTTACCCTCTTCAGGGTAAAACGAGTTCTTACTGTCTGGATGGAAGAGAGGTACCAGCAGAATATCAATCAGCCTCACATAACCTCCTCCAGCATTTTCTACTCTTTTCTGCTTTTCTAATCAATCAGACACTTAACTCCATGGCTGACATTAACCATGCCTCCATCCTGGATGCTTATCAATAAAGGCTATGCCACAGGTGTCGTTTCCTGCGGGGAATGACAGCAGGGATCATTCCCTTCTTCCTCACCCTCCGACTTGGCTTGAGTTGGCCTCAGGAGAGGATTCCAAGGGAAGCAAGCAGGGAGCTTGACCCTTCATTCTCTTCTCACTTTGACAGGGCTGGCATTTCAGGCTGAACAGATGGGGTGGCTCCTACTGCCAAGGTATTAAGCAGTTGAGGGAGGAGAAAGACAAAGACTATGGAAAAGCAGTAAGCAGAGCCCTATGTATGGTTGTTATTTGGGGGGGGGGGCAGTACGCTGCACAAAACACTTTCAAGTCCCCCCTCCATAGGACTTGGTTAACTAATGTTCCATGTTCAACAGTGCCCATGCTTTGGGTTCAAACCAAAGGTCCCTTGTATGTATATTCACCTGGTTATACAAATGTCCTTTGACCAGAAGCTGATCACTTGGAGTGCTGGTGTCGCTGTGAGAAGGTCCTCCACTGTATATGTGGCACAAAGGAGGACCTTTTTAACCTTGTTTGTGTTTTTAAATGCATTTTAACTAGACCCTCAATTCACTTCTGACATGATAACTAACCTGGTTAGACATCTGCACATGTATGTTCTGAGTATTCATGCACTGGAACTGGGATTGAGGGGAAGATAGCTCCTTTATACTATAGCTCACTACAGGCTCCTGTTGCTGACGTTAGAGAAAATATTCTCCATAATGACATTGAAATGAATAATAAAATATTAATTAAATCTCAAATTTTAAATAAATAAATAAAAGATGGAGCCAGAGTCAAACTAGTTAGCCCTCTTTCAACAGAATACCATGCCAAAGGCCTGCCTGTGCAAAAAAAAAAAAAGTCTTTGCCTGTATATACTTGCCTTTCTTCTTGGCAACTTCTTGCTCTTTTTCCCAGGACACCTGTGTGTTTTTTTGCAGATATCCCGTGAAAGAGCTGTGTCAAGGCAAAATTATATGGCATCTTTTTCATCCATTTGTGCACTACAAGCCAAAATAATTACTGTGAATTCCCCTAAGAAGGTCGAGTTGTGGCATCATTTGTTTGTTGTGTGCGTGATGGTGCAAAAAGTGTGCTCTCACTGTTGGAAGTTCCATCTGTTTGTGGATATTTAAGTTTCATTGCTGGGGGTCAGAGACTGATAGTCATTGGCAGAGTTTCTAAGAATCCATGTTCGTCATTTTTATTTCTGGTTGTGTGTGTGTGTGTGTGTTTGGGGGGGGGGGTGAGAAAGCAAAATAAAACAAAACATCAAGCTGAGAATGTTTTGGATACTGGGGTACATAGTAGCAATTCCAATTACCACCAGAATTGTGATGTATTCACTATTACTATAGTATAAGATCACTTCGATTGACTGTAATCCTATACATATTTACATAAGTACTGGATTCAATTCAAGCTGTATTGAATCTAGTACTTATGTCTTACAAAGCTTTTTTTTCCTTCTCAGGAATTATGAAATCTGAAACTTTTTAAAATCCTAATTTGTTCACATGGATGGATTCAGATAGTGATACATTTAGTTTCTGATGAATCCATGTACACAAACGTTGTTTTATTATCAAACTTATTGTGTATAAAATGTCCTTCAGGCTATGTGTATAAGGTATATATGAAACATAAATAAATGTCATATTTAGACATGGATCCCATCTTCAAGATATCTTGCTATAGGTACTGTAAATGCTAACACAGCTAATCCAAAAAACTTCCAGTTCCAAACATTTCAGATAAGGGATACTCAACCTGAATACCTCATACATCTGTGTGCATATTTGTTGTAAGTAAGCACAGTCAAATCATATTTAATTGCAGGCAAAGAAAATATGTCTCTGTATTTAGATTGTCCTAATGAGAAGCAATATTGGAATATAAAGTTGAAATTAATCCAAATTTAAAACTGTTTCAGTGTAAAAGTCTCTTTTTATGTTTAGCAAAGAAAAAAAATATCCCATTAGAAGCTTGATGTTAAGTATTTATTTGTGCACACACCAAAATCTATCCCAATTTACTTTTGCTTAATCCAATTTAATGTTTTATTTATTTATTATTTACCATATTTGTATCCTGCCTTTCTCAACCCCAAAGGGGACTCAAGACAGCCTTACAAAAGCAACAATTCAATGCTGCATGTATACATATGTCAATAGTTAAACAATTGATAATATAATTTACTTTCTATTTAATCTAGTTTATGAATGCACATGAGGTTTAGTGCCATGAGATAAATTAATTCATTAAGGGGGCGAATGATCTTTCCAAACACAATTTTTATGTCTCTCCCACTATTCCCTTTCCCTGATCAAGAATGATAAGCAGACATAGAATCATAGAATCAAAGAGTTGGAAGAGACCTCATGGGCCATCCAGTCCAACCCCCTGCCAAGAAGCAGGAATATTGCATTCAAATCACCCCTGACAGATGGCCATCCAGCCTCTGTTTAAAAGCTTCCAAAGAAGGAGCCTCCACCACACTCCGGGGCAGAGAGTTTCACTGCTGAATGGCTCTCACAGTCAGGAAGTTCTTCCTCGTGTTCAGATGGAATCTCCTCTCTTGTAGTTTGAAGCCATTGTTTCACGTCCTAGTCTCCAGGGAAGCAGAAAACAAGCTTGCTCCCTCCTCCCTGTGGCTTCCTCTCACATATTTTTACATAGCTATCATATCTCCTCTCAGCCTTCTCTTCTTCAGGCTAAACATGACCAGCTCCTTAAGCTGCTCCTCATAGGGCTTGTTCTCCAGACCCTTGATCATTTTAGTCACCCTCCTCTGGACACATTCCAGCTTGTCAATATCATGAGGTTCAGAAATGTGTGTATGTGTGTGCATGGGGTGATGGGAAATAGCATATATGTGAGTACAGAGGAGACATCAAGAGTCAAATGACAGGATGAATCCAGCCTCTGTGGACATCTTTTGGACTGTGCTGAGTAAATATGTGTGCCATAGGATGATCTAATCCTATGTCTATCTTTGAATAATAGTGAAGTACAGTATGATTTATGTATTTTTTTTTTGCTTGTTGGCACATGTTATTAAATATATGTTTTTTGGTGACAGTAAAATGGAGCTTTGTATTTTGTTTCAAAGTATTACTTCTACGTAGTGGGAAAGCAAATTTAAAAGTTTTATTTGTTTAACAAATGTGTCAAAACTATTTAAATTATTTCAGCTCTTAGCATTCTGTTTTCCATAGAGACTTGGTGGAGAAACGTCTGAAGAAGTTTCTGGTGCTAATGATGAAAATCAAAAGGTGAAAAGTGTTACACAGAAAACAAATGGAGATGTAAGAGATTACAAAAGTGATGAAGAAGAGGAAGAAGAGGAAGAAGAGGAAGAAGAAGAGGAGGAGGAAGAAGAGGAGGAAGAAGAAGAGGAGGAGGAGGAGGAAGAAGAAGATGATAATGAAGAATATGAAGAACATAAAAAAGACAAAGATGAGCTGGTAACCAAGAAATCATATAGTGATAAAGACAACAAAAGCAAACAAGAAACTGAGGCATCTTATACAGAGTCAGAAGAAAAAGAAGATACCGAGAAGAAAATATCAAAGTTAGCTACTCCCAAAAAATTAGCACTCGATACCAGTTTTATTAAGTTAAGTGCAAGGCCTTCGGGAAATCAAACCAACTTAGAGGACAGCTTGGCAAAAGTACGAAGAAATGACCCAAACATAACTGAACTCAACTTGAACAATATTGAGAATATCCCCAAGGAAATGCTGGTGGACTTCGTCAATGCCATGAAAAAGAACAAGAACGTCAAAACATTCAGCTTAGCCAATGTGGGTGCAGATGATAATGTTGCTTTTGCCCTGGCCAACATGCTACGTGAAAACAGGAGCATCATTACTTTGAATATTGATTCCAATTTCATCTCAGGCAAAGGAATTGTTGCCATTATGAGGTGTCTGCAGTACAACGAAAGGTTGACCGAGTTACGTTTCCACAATCAGAGGAGTATGTTGGGTCATCAAGCAGAAATGGAGATTGCTAGACTATTGAAAGCCAACCCTACACTACTTAAGATAGGCTACCACTTTGAGCTTCCGGGACCTCGAATGGTGGTTACTAATTTGCTCAGCAGAAATCTTGATAAACAGAGGCAGAAGAGGATAGAAGAGCAAAAGCAGCAACAGTTAAAAAAGCAGAAAGAGCTAATAGCCATGTTAGAGAATGGACTTGGGTTGCCTCCTGGGATGTGGGAACTACTAGGAGGACCAGTGCCTGCTGCAATGATGCCTCCTCCAATGACACCTCCAATGCCATCCATCCCCAAAGTGCCCTCTATTGGTAGAAAAAATGAACCTGCAAGAAAACCGGCCCCTGAACATGAAGACAACGATAACACTCCTTCCTTCAAAGTAGTGAAACTTAAGCGAACACAGCGCAAACCCACTATACCAGAATATGTGGAGCCAGCCGAAAAAACCAATCTCAAAGATGTGATCAAGACATTGAAGCCTATCCCAAGAAGGCGGCCACCTCCCCTGATGGAAATCACTCCCAGAGATAAGCTTCTTAATGATATTCGTCAGAGCAACGTAGCTTATCTGAAACCAGTGAGTACAAATGATGAGGGCAACAAACAGGCATAGGGAAATATTGGAATACCAGTAAAACCATTTCAGGCTAGTCAAAAGTGGTTATTTGGGATTCTCCATGTTTGGCAGAGCTTGGAAACATTAATTTTGAAACTACAGTAAACTTTCCATATTGGCAAGTTTGACTTTTATGGATTTGTCATTCACAAATTTGATTAAAAGTTTTTCTGTAGGAATTTCTAGCTCATAGACTCACAGAATTATAGAGTGGGAAGAGACTGTGCAATTCTACTGTCAACATCTGCCAAACACTGACCGTACTTGATCTTAGCCAAAATCCTGAGAGGGATTTGAGCACTGAATAACCTCCAGTACAAATATTTGGTCAACATCCATCAAATATTGACCACATATTTATTATTTAGTATATTCATATACTGCCTTTCTCGCTCCTGGGGGCACTCAATGTGGTTTACAACATATTAATGACAAGAATTCAATGCCAACATACATATAATAAGATAAAATCACAATAACTATAGTTTGCCTGGAGAACCTAGATTCTAGATTTCAGGTTAAAAAAATATATCAATTGTGGTTTTTCACTTCTCTGAGATCCTATTCCCCTAACACCACAGAATGTGTAGGGATGACTATACAGATCCCAGAACCCAGACTGACTGGGGATTCTGGGAGTGATGAGAAGAAAATTTTGAGTTATCAACAAATCCATTTTAGATTGTTATTTTTTAAATTTAGACTAAGATTTCAGCTACTTTGAATTTTGCTGAACCTTTTGGCTACAATTCCAAATGTATGGTATCTGGGTTGTTCTGTGCATTGTAGACCAAAAGTAATGCTTCCAACCTTTGGTTTTGGAGCCCTGGGGGAAAAACATCCCTTGTGTGCCAGGTTTAGATCCCATTGGTGAAATGCTCTTTTAAGACCCTTTTCTCTGCATGGGGCCGCACTCTGCTGCTGCCACAACTGTCCATCTTCTTGACCTCTCCCTTTTGACCTTATCTACACAGTTGCTCAGCAAGAGATGGGAAGGTAAGACAAGACAGTTGTGCCTTCTGGTTATCCTACCACTTGTCTCTTGTGGAAAGGTGATAGGTCAAGAGGCAGCAACTGCAAGGGAGAGGAACAGCAGGGGCAGGGTTTGGCCATGATCCTCCTGCAGAAGAGTGGTACCCAACAATGTTAGTTCTCTGATGCTTGACCTTTGCTAATTTTTTTATTATTATGGTTCTTTGAACAAAATAAGGTAATCACAGCAAGCTGAAGATACCAATCAATCAGTTCATTTATTGTTCTAACCAAAGGTCATGACAAAGAGTTTTACATCACACATTCAAGATAAAAGGACAAAAGATAGTAACTAAAGTTTTTACCACACTCCTATAAAGAATGAAAACATTCCAAGCTATTGATAAACTTTTATCAAAAATCAAATTAATACTTCTAGTCTCAATGGCAATTTTAACTAGCTTTCTCTTTCTAATCTTTTTTTTACAACCAAAGCAAAAAGGGTCACTTTATTTTGGATCAACTCAGAAAAAAACTGAATAAATTCTACCAGAAAGTTTTCACTCTCATTTGTCCACAAGAGTTTGAGATATTTTTCTCTGAAGTCACTATATTGGAGATAGTGTAGCATGTAATGCACAATCTCTTCCCACTGGTATTGATTACAGACTTCTTGATTATAGAGTCCATCTAACACAGCATTACTTGAAACTGCAGCTCAGTAAAGGCAATTCTTCAGGAGGATGGCTTAAGTTTGATCAGATATCTGGTTCTAAAATGTTCAGTTTCAAAAAGAACCATGGATAGAATGTTGAGCTCCTAATTGACTGCAGATCCCTTCTTGAATCTGTCCAAAATAGCCAGTCTCTTAATTGGATATCATCAAGATATCACATTGTTTTATGAGGGGGGTGTCTGAGTGCCAAGACGTGCAGTATTTGCATTACAGCACACAAGAATATGTGCATGACATGTGTGTTCAGATACTATGATGGGGGATTAATCAACTCATTATTTTTAGCTTTCTTATTCTAGCTACTTCATTTGAAGAGCATTTTTCAAAAATCCTTCTGACCCGAGGTAGGGCATCTCCGATGTCAGTCAAATAGAGTGTTGCATGATGTGGGGTGCATTTCCTGACGGTTCCCCCTCTCCTCTCAGTTACATACCTCAGATGCTGCCTACTGAACAAGCTGGTCTGCATATCCTTATTTTGCGTGTCTCAGATTTTTTTCACTTGGCCAAAGTCTAATCTGTTGCACCTGTTAATCATGGAGGTCACCCACGGTAGCTGTGTTTAATTATGTCTTCCTCAGTAGCACCGAAATAATTTCCCAAGGTTGAAAATCAAACTATTGCTAGTTCCTCCCTTTAAGACACTAAGTCTAGTTCCCTGCATAGAAAAATAACTACCCATATAAACTCATGTATATGTCGACCTCATATATCAGTTGAAAGCAGATTTTGGAAATTAACATCATGGAATTTTTTAAGACACATGACCATATCAGGCATTATTCTGCAGAAAAAGGAAAGCATCAATGTCACCTTCCGGGGTCCTGCTGCCATTTCTCCCCATCTGAAAAGGCCAGAAGCAGCACCACGTCAGAGAGAATAGAGTGCTTCTTTTAGGCTTTTCCAGGATGGACTAAGCTTTCACTGCTCTACTCAGAGAAGTGGATTAAAAAAATAAGATACAGAACTCACACTGACCCATCCCATGGTCAACCCAAGTTTTTTGGGGAAGATTTTTTTGACTAAATTACTAGACTCATACATGAGTATGTACAGAATATAAAATCTACAGTCTGATTAATGTTCTCTCATTTTGACCTGTTGCAGCATTTTCAGCTGTAACTTGAAATAAATTGTTCCAGATAGAGCTAGTAAGAAGAATCAAGGAAAGTAAGAACATTTCATTTCGTAATTCCTAGAGTTTCCATTACTTCCCTTACACAGTATTACACTTCTGATTGAGTCCAAAATACTGGAGTTTCCCAAAATCGTTCATTCATAATATAATGAATGATTCATTATATTATATTGGCTCCATCTAGGCCAGTGATGGTGAACCTTTTAGAGACTGATGGCCATCCCAAAAGACAGAGAAAGACGGTAGGAAACAAATTAAGATGGTTCCCTCTGCTATCCAGTTGTCAATGTGATGAGGTCCTTAGTCACATTCACTTTCCTTTAAAAAATGAAGCAAACATGCTCATCCCAACATTTCACACTGGTTTGTACCTGAATTTGGCCTGGTTAGTATCCAAATAGGAGTCCATGAGCCAGTGTCAGAGATCTCTTTCCTGAAACTCTGGACAACCCCTGCTAGTGAGAACTGACAATACTGGGCTATGTGGACCAATGTGCTAACTCAGAAAACCAGCTTCCTGTACTTATAACTCCTTCAGTACCTTGAATGGTTAAGTACTCTTCACAAAGTTGTTGTAGTACATTGAAAGAGAAAGTGTGTTGGATCCAACCCTTTGACCCATGACATCTCCAGGTAGAACTAAGAAACAATTCTGCCTGAAACACTAGTTAGGTTCTGAAATTGGTGTAAGAAATGTTTGACTAAATCAAACAATGGTCCAGTTCAGTACAGTATAAGACAGTTTCTTAACTTCAGAGGTGTGTCTGAAATGTGGTAGAATGCCTTTTTGCCATCTATCATTAAAATAAATATGAGGATGAAGGCATCAAAAATATCACACTTAAAGAACAACAACATGATTAATCTTGGTCAGCTTTTTAAACTCCCCATACAAAATACATAAATACATATTTCTTAGAATAAGTAAGAGTAAGAAAGCAGAAGTAATGATTGAATTGACAAAAGTTTCATTCACAAAGTATGATAACCTCCTTGAAAGATTACTGGATCCAGACAGTCAGTAGGTAGGTTTCATGTATAAAATAATATAAACAAATAACAGTTCCGTAACAACAATTCAGGTAGAGTTCTTAACTGCTGCCTTGGATCCTGCCCACTCTTATTTTTAGCAAGTTCCTTTAACACAGAACAACATTCTGACTTACTGAAATTGGAGCATTGCTTGATATATTATTTCTTCTGTAAAAAATACTGGGATCTAAACCTCCGTGGGAAGAAGAGCTCTTCTCCTCAAAGTACACTTCACATCCTCCTGGACATATGTGTCCAAAGATGCCAAAAAATGCCCCAGTCTAGGGGAAAACTAAGTCTAGCCTTTCAGTTTCTATTATTAATTTGGAAAGGTTTTTTTGTAGATATTCTTTTGTGTCTTTTGAATGAAACTGAGGAGGAAATTCATATTTTCTCTCTCCAATTCACATGTCTTCTTACTCTTCCTGCACAGGTACCTGTACCCAAAGAGCTGGAATAAGGCACCCAGTTCAGCTGAAAGAAACAACTTGAAGGAAAAAGACAAAATAACAAACACGGACTGTTCAAGTTACTTCAGGTTGTTTCAGGGGCAGTTTTTCCTTCAGGTGGAAGCGATGAAGACGTGGGAACAACATTTGAAGCATGCTGTCTGTTGAAGTGATGATTGAAATGATTAGAATGGAAGCAGTATGAATGGTTAATAATAGCCATCTAATCTCAAATAACAAGCTGGTGCCATGGCCCTATAGCCACCATCTACATTTAACATCTGAGATGGTTGGGTGGAAAGGGATACCTTACCTTCCCTCATTATGTTACCACTTGTATATAGATTATTTCAGTAAATCTCATTACAAGCATGTCATTTATAGAGACCTGTGGTGTCCTTTTAAGAGTTTTCCCTTTCTCCCTTGTTCACTCTCCCAAAGTTCTGTGGAATGTCTGCCAGCCTAAAGAAAATCTCGTTTTGCAAAACATAACTACTTCTACAATAGAAGCAAATGTCTCCTTTTTAGAAAAGCTTGATGTATATCTTCTCTTTACTACAGGGGTTGGGAAAAAGAGACAGGGACTGTGGAAATCTAGTAAGTAGGGGTTTGTTTGTTTTTTGAAAGGGGGTCCTAGAAGAAGACTAAATTTCTTCATCCTCCTCCCCATTATGAGGTGGCATCTGTTGCCTCTCTCCATTGCATTTCCTATTGACATGCTTGCTTGTGTGTCCAACCATTTCTTTCTTCAAACAACAGTTTATTGTGAGTCACTTGCTCACTCACCATCATCCTTTATATAGTGGGCTCTCTGTATCTGCCAGGATTTGGTTTCAGGACCCCGGTGGATACCAAAACCCATGACTGATGAAGTCCCATTGTATACAATAGAGCCCCCAGTGGTACAGTGGAGGTTCTAATCTGGGTAGAGCAGAGATGAGCTCCCTTGGTTAGCTCCAGCTCCCCATGCGGGGACATTAGAAAATCCTCTCACAGGGATGATAAAACATCAAAGCATCTGGGCATCCCCTGGACAACATCCTTGCAGACAGCCAATTATCTCACATTAGAAAAAAAGTTTGTCAAGTCACTCCTGCACACACACACAAACGCAAAACTGTATACAATTGTGTCGAAAAATGGCATCCCTTATATAAAATGGTGCAGGACAAAGTCTATGAAATTGGAAGAGGCTATTGCAAAGTATACCTGTACATCAGCATAGTCCTCAACATGCAGCAAAATCAAGGTTGGGGATATTTTCAAGTTGTGCTTGGTTGAATCCACAGAGGCAGATCCTATGGATACAGACAACTGGCAGTACTTTCTTTTTTCATTTGTCACTTTCTCCTTGCCAACTTGTACTGGGCCTCAAAATGCAAACTGATGTGTACCACATATAGATCACTGAATTTCTTTAGACCAAAGTATTTGGTCAGGTGAGCAAGAAAAGGAAGACAGCAGCAAACAGTACTGCCTTGCACCAACCAAAATGTTTTGATATATGAGGTATCCTGGCAGTATAATCAAAATAAAAAAAATTAAATAACTAGTGATTTGCTGCCCCTTCATGATAAAATTCTCTGCTTGAGGTGGATACTTCACTCTGCATAATGGCAAGATTATGCCTGACTAAGGCCCTTGACAGTAAGATCTCTACTGGTGTAAGTCGTGACAGCTGCCTGGCCATACTATTCCTTGTCATAAAAATTGACTTGACTTAAGGCTTTTGGTTTTCAATTACAATTAGGTAGGGTAAATTGTGAAATATAAACTTTCACTGTTGTGAGGAAAGGCCCCTAAAATTGTACCCAAAGGCAAATCTGGCAAGTTACCCAGGTTTGCCCTGAGAAAGTCAGCATCATGGATTAGCCTGAGAGGCTGCATTCTTGGAGACAGTCTGGGTAATTTCGAGCAACTATGGGACCAGACAACTCAAATATTTCTAAAAGATACATGGCTTTCCATAATCCTGACAGAAAGTCCTATGTTGTTCTTGCAGTATCCCTGAACTTTTCATACTTTCCTCCCAATCAAGATCACCTTCTATAATCTCACAGTAAACCCGAACTGTAGAAGTGTGCTTCTTAAGTGTACTTCTGCGATGGTAGATCAGCATACTTTTAATGTGCCAGAAACCAGCCCCATATTCATGCCCATTTGTTACCATTGTTTCTTCATTTCCTGGAAACACTTTGGGGACTTTCATTGAATGGTTTTCACACCATCTTCATTTGACAGAGCATCACTTTTGGAGTAGCACTGTTGCAGAACAGCCCTTGGGAACACTGGAGAATCTGGGACCGATTGATGCCATGACCTTTGCTAGATGGCTTTCTTCAGGTGCTTGGTGTACTGCCCAACTCAAAATTGCAAGTTTGCTACAAGCTGAAGGGGAAGAAAGTTGGCTCTTTGTAGGAAACTGGAGATTAGTCACTAGAAACAAGGTGCTAATCCATCCTTGTCCAATTATATAGCAGTTGGGTGACTCTTACCCCAGACAGCTCCATTATAGTGTTGCATTTGTAGGAAACAAATTGAAGATGCACAACAATCACAAAGTCAAATGCTTATCTGGTTTGGCTGTTTTGATTTTTTTAAAAGCTGCCATGTAGAAGATGCAAACCAAAATATACTTTTTGCATATACAGACAGCCCCCAAGTTATGAACAAGATAGGTTCTATAGATTTGTTCTTAAGTTGAATTTGTAAGTCAGAACAGGTATATATTTAAGTATAACTCCAGCAAAAATATATTTTAGCTTTAGATAGCATAAGGAAAGGTTAACACCCCTGTGGTCTTTGTTTTGTTACCTGAGCCCATGTTCAAAATATTTCTTCTCATTTTCTGTCCTTGTGATAATTGGATTTTGAAAAAAAAAATGGCTTGATGTGGAAACAAGGATTGACTATAAAGCTCCAGTGGAGACACCTTTCCCCTATATCAACTCTTTCAGATGTTAATTTCACTTCCGAAGGGTAGATTTCTCTCTCTCCCTGTTATCTTGACCCCATTTTTAACTATGAGTCATTTGTAAGTCAGATGTTTGTAACTAGGGACTACCTTCATAAGAAAGCAAAAACCCAGTCTTCTTTCCATGTTATCTATGTGAAAGGGATCAATTTTGAGATCCTAAGAACATACAAGATGACTCATTTATGACTTTTATTCTTTCAGCAATCGTTCTATCAGCAATGAAGATGTTACAATATATGTTGCTGACCAGCACATCTATGTTTCTGTCCATGCTTCTAATTCCTGCAGTACTTACAGCACATTTATTTCTTAAACTGAAGCTATGCAGCTCCTCTGTCCCTTCATTTCTCTTGTCTTACAATCAGGTATGCAGCTGTATTGATTTGCTCAAGGGATTCTCCTACCTGTGTTGCATTATTGAAGAAGATAACTTTTCATGAAGATAACATGAAAGTGTTGCATGCCACTGAGCTGAATTTTGATATGGAGAACACTTGAAAATTCTGCTTGTAGAAAAGGAGTACTGCCTACTAACATTTCAACAGTCCAGCTGGCTCACTAGTATTATTATCTGAGATGTTTATTTCCTTTTATTTAATATATTTATGTCTCATCATTCCTTGAATGAACACAGTATGCATGCATAGTTAATTCTTCCTTCCCTTCACTCTGTTCTCATAAAAGTTTATAAAATAGGTTAGGCCAAAATAAATTAACTGGCCTATGGTAACTCATGGCTATGTGAAGATTTAAACTACGTCTCCTAGGGCATAGGCGGACACCTTCTAACAATTGTACCATGCTGGCTCCCTTCTATGTTGTTATAGAGAAACTACATTTCATCACTACTGATGAACATTTCACAAACACTTGAACACTTGATGTGACAAAAAACTTCCTGTCTATATAATATTTACACAACTGTTCAAAACCAAAAGTTATCACCTCCTCCTGTAAAATTTTACACTGCTACATTAACCAGTCAAGCCAAGTTTGATATAGATGCACGTTGTCTGGGTTTGAATAGAGCGGTTCAATTTGGCTAATTTGTAGATGCCATCAAATTATCAAATTAGAAAAGGTAGCTAATACACCAAAGGCCAAGATCAAAATACAAAAATTACGTTAATTGATTGGCCCAAAACCAACCACACTGATTTCAGCAAGGAGATATAGAATGTACTATACTTAGACAGAAAATATTAAACCACAGGTATAGGATGGGGGATACTTGGCTTGACTATAGTACATGTGAGAGGGATCTAAAGTTTTAGTCAACAGTGTAATGCAGCAGCTAAACAAGCCAATGTGATTCTAAGTTGCATTAATAATAGTGTCTAAATTGAGTGAAACACTAGCACCACTCTATTCTGCTTTAAGTCAGACTTAACCTGGAAAATAGTGTTGAGCTGTGGACAGCACAATAACAAGAAGGATGTTGACAAGTTGGAATGTATCCAGGGGAGGACAACCAAAAGGATAAAAGATCTGGAAGCCATGCCCTATGAGGGCATAGGGAGCTCGATATATTTAGCTTGGAGAAGGTTAAGAAGGGACATAATGGCCATGTTCAAACATTTGAAAGGATCTCATATCAAAGATGGAGCAACTTTGTTTTTTGCTGCTTCAAAGACTAGGACAGAAAGCAATGGATTGAAAATATAGGAAATGAGATTTCACCTAAATATTTGGGGAAATGGCCTAATTGTAAGTAAGACCTGTTAGACACTGGAATACACTGTCTCAGAGTGTGATAGTATCATCCTCTAGAGCAGTGGTTCTCAACCTGTGGGTCCCCACATATTTTGGGCTTCAACTTCCAGAAATCCTAACAGCTGGTAAACTGGCTGGGATTTCTGGGAGTTGTACACCAAAACACCTGTGGACCCACAGGCTGAGAACCACTGATCTAGAGGATTTTAAATAGAGGCAGGATGTCATCTGTCAGGAGTATTTTGTGTATTTTTGCATGGCAGAATTGGGTTGGCTCTTGTGGTGTCTTCCAGCTATGATTCTAGCATTATCACCAGCTGCCGTGATGTTAAAGTAAATATGGTGGAGGAGCCAAAGCTATGGTTGTGTTGGTGGTAGCACAGCATGGGGAAGGGGATTAGATGTTAGGAAGGGTAGACTGGGTTAATGACAAAAGAGTCTGACAAATATTTTCAGAAATGTATGACTAATTATTATTATTATTATTATTATTATTATTATTATTATTTATACCAAACCACCATCTCCCCAAAGGGAATATGAACCTAAGTATAGATGACTACTTAGTGCAAAGCACCATACCAATTGAACATCACTAAAGTGACACATCCGTTTTCTTATTATTTGGAGTTTTTTGTCAGACAATATTTGAAATACATATGTGCTTCTTAGCAGTTTAAAGTGTCCCTTTATTCTCAGATATTTCCCTGTATGCATCCCAGGTATTGTGTAATCATTAAATAATGACAATGGAAAAAAAAAATCTGCGATTCAGGAATACTCACAACATTGTCCCCACTAAGCAGCAAGAAGTATATTTTTGGTAAACCAAGAACTGTGACATATCAAAGCAGTAGGAACAGTTTTATGTATCAATGCCTAACCTTGGAATACTATCTGGCAGATCTGAATACAATGGAGAAGAATAGTTATTCATGTATTGTAAAAGTGTGTACAAGCCCACACTATATGTTGAGTATTCAAGTCTTGTACAACATTTAAAGTTTTTCCATTAAGAAAACAGCTCTGAACCCAGAACTCCCACCACCCAACCTTTCAAGTATGGAGGTAACTTTTTCAATATAGATAACAAGATGCCTGCAGGCTATGTATGTATGAAAGATATATCAAATTTGAAAAAAAGAAAGCCCTAAAATCTTCCTCTTGGGCCTCAAATCTAAGCCATTCTTTTCTTATAAGACCTGAATTGACAGGCCACACTTCACTACATTACTATATTTTTTACCCAGTGTTTATTTCAAATGAAGGTGTTTGGAAGGTGACACAAATAACGGTGCAGCTTTTAAGCAGTATGGTAGCAGCAGCCAACTATGAGCAGCTGCTGACAGCAGGTTCACGCAGTATCTTTGAGTTTCTAAACATGACATCGCTTTGTAAATTTAGGCAAGAGGCCTTCAGGTTGCATGCCTGAAAGTCCCTTCCACAAATATGACGGACAGGTCAAAAGAACAAACTAGCTGAAGTTGCTGTACCTTACCTTTTGGACGCTATACATTGTGCCATCTATCCCGCACCCCTTCAGTTGCAGCACACCTTACACAATACTTAAATTCACTGAAGGGTGATAGAGCAACACGTGCAGGGATAAAAGAAAAGCTGCCAAGGTAAGCCTAAAACTCTTGAAGCTGTAATTTATCATTGTAACCATGTACTATCTTGCTCGTGAAGTCAATCAGGAACAGGCCTGCAGAACCTGTGGCCCTCCAGTTGTTTTGACTTCTAACTCCCAGAAGCCCTAGCTAGCTTGTGCAATGGCCAGGAATTGTAGGAGTTGGAGGCCAAAACTGCTGGAGGGCCACAGATTGGCAGGCCTGATCTAAGGGCACACCTACACTAACCATTTAATGTAGTTTGAAGGCAACTTAAAAGTGTGACAGCTATACAATGCATCCTGCAAAAATGTGCCACAACATGCTTTAAAGCAGTGGTTCTCAACCTGTGGGTTCCTTGGCATTTTGGCCTACAACTCCCAGAAATCCCAGTCAGTTTACCAGCTGTTAGGATTTGTGGGAGTTTAAGGCCAAAACATCTGGGGACCACTACTTTAAAAGATTTAAACTGATATAAACAATTTTGGGAGGAAAGTATAAAATAAACCCCTTAATGAACATCAGCATGCTCTAGTATAAACCATTGCTTGGCACAAGTGACTCCACAGAAAGCGAACTGCTGTGTGAATACTCATGGGGCTCCGCTGATCTGGACGTATGCATTTCAGGAGGGCAGGGGTTGAAAGAAAACCTAAATTCACCACAAATGTCAAGCCACAGATACTGTGGATTCTGGAACTAGTTTAAGATCTGCCTCTGAAGTTTGCGTAATCACCATCTGGGACACAAACCGGTTCCAGGGTTTCTAATATAATTCATCTGCACACAGAAACTCCTTCCTTCTATGATGGTTCAAAGTACCCTAAGCGGTCAGTAAGTGTCAGGTCAGCTAAGGCTTTGGGGAACTGAATTCCTGGAGAACTAGAGTTCGGGAATCACTGATTTATAAATAATTATATTTCTCTGTAGTTCTAACATTTTATACTTAAACTAAATATTAGAGGGTATTTAATCACAAGTAAAGTAAGACAATACAAATCAAGACCAGTTTATTTATCTTTAATCCTGGAATCTAGAGACATAATTCCAACAAAATATCAATCATTTAACAGTAAAATATGGAATGAGATGTTACAACTCTCAGTTCAAAAAGGGAAAAAAAAGTTCATGGTTTGTGAAGGGGAACCTGAGAATATTTACTACCTAAACAATAGAAGGCTAGGGAGAATATGACTTTGCAGATGAAGTTGAACTGCAACTCTCATTATCCCTTCTGGTCAGGTACGCAGGCTAACACTGATGAGACATGCAGTCCAAACACTTCTGGAAGGCCACATATTCTCTGCCACTGTAACAACTTAAATCTATGGAGAAAAATACAGAAAAAGGAAAAATAGGGAGTGTGTGATATGCGGTGTGGATTTGCCTATTTTTCTTACATGAAATTTAATTCCACTGAAATTATGTGCAACAGGCATTTGGAGGAAAAAATGGAGGTGCTTAACATATGATGCATGAAGATATCTTGCACTGTTTCATACCCTTTGAGACAGGAGAAGAATGCCTGGATAGCCCCAAATGTCAGTATGAGATGACATCAAAAATTAACATTATATTTTCCAGTTCATTTTTCTTTAAAATATATATATTTATCACGGTGGACTAAACAAATACTGTTAAGATCCATAATTAAATTGAACAGCAGATCCCAAGCTTTGCAAAGTTAAATACGTACATAACTATTATATATATATATATTAAAGCATGTAGAGCAGTTGAATGTGGCATGCAGAGAAAATTACGTTCGTCTTGTTATACGACTTGACCCTTAAATATGATCACTCTCCATACGTTTACTGAAGGAATGTCTGTTTGCTAGATGTTATCTATGCAGACTTGAAGTTTTGTGCAAAAAATAAAGGTTTGTTGGTAAACAGGAGAAAAAATCCAGATTTATCACAACAAAATATACATGTCCTATGGCTAAACTGAGATTCTCTACTTCTCATTTTGAAAATATAGACCACTCAAGGGGTTCATTAAGATGCAACGGGGGCTGGAGGGTCTGCAATGACACCAGACTTTACTCTGAATTTCAACTGAGCTATACAAGGTTTGGAATCAATTTGTGGGATAAGGTTCAGCACCTTAGCTAACTCCTTTAAAATTCAGACTAAAATCCAAACTAGATCCAACAACTACTCAACCTGGGAGCCAAGAGCTATCGTTGCTCCAACATATATTCTCTAGCCTAATTCATATTAGTTTGGGGTCAGTGTGATGCCATCCTGATTACATGGAGGATAAAAAAAGTGCTTTTTGCATTTGAAGTGTTTTCATAAAATACAGACTTCTGAAAAAAAACACCAAAATATAAATAGTTTTGGAGAAGGCATTCCATGTTGTCCATCCCTTCTCCCATCCCTTGGAAAACAAATAAGTGCTCTGAACTATCAAATGCATTTGTGTATCAAATACCTCAGCATGTTACACCTTGTTATAATGCCTTTTTTCCCACTTTGCTCAGAGGAGCCCCCAAAAGTTAATGAGATGTCATTTTGCCACATGTCAGCTTTGCGGTCTGTGTATCATTACACCCACAGACTGAAAAGTGATGTTGGACGTGACCAAATACTTCCCCAAGCTAAGAACAACAAGCAGCATGCATATTTATTCTTTCGCTTTAGCCAGGTAGTCAGCCAGCTTGGTGAAACCTTCTTCTTGCTGTTCAAGAAGGTCCAGGATGATGCCCATCGGAGTCTTCTTCAAGCCAATGTCTTCCATCTTGTTCTCCAGTTTGTTCTTTATGTTCCGAAGCCTCAAGGAAGCATGAACAAACATCACTGCCAAAAAAGAAATCAGATTATTAATTCATCTGAGATGGCAGTTTTTGTCACTTGGAGAAAAGTAAAGTTTTTAAAAGGTCACATGCATAAACACACTGTAAGGCAGTGGCGGGCAGAGCCCAAGGGGTTTTCTTTGGTGGCCTTCAATCCTTCAGGCTTCCTAATCTTTAATTCTAGTCTAAAATAGAGAAATAGCTTGTTGTGGACATCTAATGCAATTTCCAAATAGTTTGCATCATTATTTAAGAACAAGTATACAGACATACATTCCTCAAAACCAGAAATGGACATCCAACCATGGGGGTTTTCTACCCCTAAAATCTTTTCCCTTGCAGATTTTAAAGACAGAAAACTAGTCCCTGCCATAGTTGCCTAATGCAAAGCAAAGGTAATTGATGATAACAGCTTTGTGTGGATAGCAAGCACAGAATTTTGATTTAAGATACTTGCCGTGGAGCTTTGAACAAATTTGTGTCAACAGTAAAGTCAGGTAATAGTAAAAGGTAAAGGTAAAGGCTTCCCCTGACATTAGTCTAGTTGTGTCTGACTCTGGGGGTTGGTGCTTATCTCCATTTCTAAGCTGAAGACCTGGCGTTGTCTGTAGATGCCTCCAAGGTCATGTGACCAGCGTGACTGCATGGAGCGCTGTTATCTTCCTGCAGAAGCAGTACCAATTGATCCACTCACATTTGAATGTCTTTGAACTGCAAGATTGGCAGAAGCTGGACCTAACAGCGCGAGCTCACCCCACTCCCCGGATTCGAACCATCAACCTTTCAGTCAGCAAGTTCAGCAGATTAGCGCTTTAACCCACTGTGCCACCAGGGGGCCCTCAAACAATAGTAAGCTACAGTAATTCAGCAACAACTGTGCCAATTCTTGCTGGTTAAATAGAGATATGAATAACCATAGCTATGTTACACAATAAGGAGTGGAAAAAAAAAGTTAAGGAAAGTGGGCAGATAAGCAAATGACACAAAGATGAAAAACTGGGCACCCCCTAGTATTGGAGGATACATCTTTCTAATTCCTGATCTAGGCACCCATTTGTAAGATATAACCTACTTAAAAAGCAGGCATATTCCACATACATACATATGCGAGGTGACATTAAACATTTCCTGGCACTGAAATGCCCTCAGAATTAAAGAGCCACAGCACCGACTCACTGCAGTCTATAATACCCCAGAAGATCTAAAATAACACAACTTTTGGCTCATTCAGGTGGCATATTTAGCCAAGCAGTACAATCTAATGCTAAATACAACAGCAGACTAGTATTGACTGTCAGGGTTCTTGCTGACAAGAAATGAAAAACCACAACCTACATGTGGTACATGTGAAAAAGATCTTGGAGTCCTCGTGGACAGCAAGTTAAACATGAGCCAACAATGTGATGTGGCGGCAAAAAAAGCCAATGGGATTTTGGCCTGCATCAATAGGAGCATAGTGTCTAGATCTAGGGAAGTAATGCTACCCCTCTATTCTGTTTGGTTAGACCACATCTGGAATATTGTGTCCAGTTCTGGGCACCACAATTCAAGAGAGATATTGACAAGCTGGAATGTGTCCAGAGGAGAGCGACTAAAATGATAAAATGTCTGGAGAACAAGCCCTATGAGGAGCGGCTTAAGGAGCTGGGCATGTTTAGCCTGAAGAAGAGAAGGCTGAGAGGGGATATGATAGCTATGTATAAATATGTGAGAGGAAGCCACAGGGAGGAGGAGGGAGCAAGCTTGTTTTCTGCTTCCCTGGAGACTAGGACGCGGAACAATGGCTTCAAAATACAAGAGAGGAGATTCCATCTGAACATGAGGAAGAACTTCCTGACTGTGAGAGCTGTTCAGCAGTGGAACTCTCTGCCCCGGGTGTGGTGGAGGCTCCTTCTTTGGAAGCTTTTAAACAGAGGCTGGATGGACATCTGTCAGGGGTGATTTGAATGCAATATTCCTGCTTCTTGGCAGGGGGTTGGACTGGATGGCCCATGAGGTCTCTTCCAACTCTTTGATTCTATGATTCTATGAACTTGCAGTTTCTCAATGTGATTGTGATTAACAGGAAGCTTCAGCATTTAATATTATGAAAATGGAAACCATTTCAAAAGTATCCGGCCCACAAGAAGAACTCACAGAACAGGGGAAATGTGATCCCAAACATGAAGACCATGACGCCTCCAAAAAAGGATATCAGGAAGTAGCTCAACAGAATAATAGCGATGACAAAGGCAAAGGGGTAGTGCTTCTTAAACTTGCGAATGAAGTCTTTGTTGTGAGATGCCCACACAAACGCCAGGAACACCAGGACCACCACGGCAGCACCAAGGACCATGCTCAGTGGATTCAGAAATCTGTAGACACACAAGATATAAATAATATTGAATGTGATATAATAATTTTAGTGTCAGTTTCAATACAATTTTATTTTGATTCTTTTTGTTGCCAATTTACCACACAGAATCATAGAGTTTCAAGACCACGAGGGCCATCTAGTCAAACCCCCCGCCATGCAGGAATACATGAACAAACCATTCCTGACAAATGACACCAAGCCTGTCTAAAAACTTCCAGAGAGAGACTCTACCACACAGTATATACCACTGTCAAACAAACTGTACGGCTAGGAAGTTCTTCCTAATGTTGAAGCGGAATGTCTTTTCCTGAAGTTTGAATCTATTGTTCTGTATCCTAGTCTCTGGAATAGCAGAAAATAAGCTGGCTTAATCTTTGATATGAACATCCTTTTTCAAATAGCTAACTATGGCCATATGTCACCTCTTCTCCAGGCTAAGCATACCCAGCTCCACAGACACCATGATTTCCAGGCCTTTGATCTCCTCTGGACACACTACAGTTTATCAATACCCTTCTTGCATTCTGGTGCTCAGAACTAGACACAGTATTCCAGGTGGCGTCCGACAAAAGCAGAATAGAGGAGTACTGTTATTTCCCTCCATCTACAGTGGTTCTCGACCTGTGGATCCCTATGTGTTTTGGCCTACAACTCCCAAAAATCCCCGCCAGTTTACCAGCTGTTAAGATTTCTGGCAGTTGAAGGTCAAAAGATCTGGGGAACCACAGGTTGAGGACCAGTGATCTAGAAACTATATTTCTATGTGAGAAGAATTGATCCTTATACACTGCCTCCCTCTCTCACACGCACAAAGGGCAGGTTTTATACTAAGTTAGTATGATGCAAACTTAGATGGGAGACGGACAACAAATACCAGGTGTTGTGGGCTATAACTCAGAGAAATGAACTGGCATATCCACCTGTGGATATTCCTTGCCTAAGAAAATCCTATGAAAATCATGGGGTCATCATAAACTGAGAGGTCACTCGGGAAGCATGCACATACACATATTACACAACCACACAAATGTACTGGTCTCTGCACACAAAGAACTCTTTGATTAAAAAAGCTAGAAACCAATCATTCCTTTATAGAAGCAGCTTCAAGTCAGCTGCCCACCTGCTCCTGCTTCTCAACCCGACTCCATTCTGCAGCATACTAAAAACAGGCCAGATCTGCTTGCTGTTTCCAGTGTCTGAGTCACTTCTGGTCAGCTACAGGCTATATTTAGATCAAAACTTTCTGAATGTTCTGCCTGGAAAAGCTGAATAGTAACTCCAGGGAGAAAGTCAGTCTGACAAGAGCATCGCACCACGAGCATTTTGCCCTAATGTTCAGCAGAATCTTCATTTTAAAGAAGTGATCTAGTATGTCGCATTTGGCAAAAGACACAGTTCAAATTACCTCAGGTACACCATTTAAAACAGATTGTGATCAGCTCGATTCAATGCAGTCAACAAACCATGGGCAGTATGCAAATTTGTCAAACATCTCCCAGGCCCTTGATGCATAGCTGGTGAACTGTAGAATTCAAAGACATAGTAATGTTTGCCTGAAATATCTATGGGAAAGGATATTATAGCAATGTGTTGTTGAAGGCTTTCATAGCCGGAATCTCCACTTATAAACTTCACTTGCCCAGTTTCCAACAGACCCCACAACCTCTGAGGATGCCTGCCATAGATGTGGGCTAAATGTCAGGAGATAATGCTTCTGGAATATGGTCACACAACCTGTAAAACTCAGAACAACCCAGATATTGTAGCACTTATGAAAATGAAGCTGATAGTACAGTCGGTTCGCCACATCTGCTGGGGTTAGGGACAATGAAGGCCTATGAAAGTGAAAAACTGCAAATAAAGAAATTGATTTTTTTTAAAAAAATTGGAGAGAACATCTATGTAGGATTTTCTAGTTTTTCCAGCACGACTCCATGGTTGACTTCTATTGTAAAGTCTTCTCTCCATAAATCTGTCTTCCAACATGACTAGAGAGAGCTGATTACAGTATCACAGTGGAGGATCTAGAGGTCCTTAGATATGATTTCAATCTAATCCATTAATAATGAAATTTGCAGAAGTAAAAAAAAATGCCAACGTGGAGGGACAACTGTTCAACCTTTAAGAGACTTAAGCCTATTTCATTAAAAAGCTTATGCTACCAACTTCTTTCTCATAGTCTCAAAGCTAAATACTGGAACCCTCCACATACTGATGGGCTGTGTTAGGTTGGTGAGTCACAAATTTCCACTTTCTAAACATACTAAGAGATTTCTGAGATCATGTGCTGAGTGCCACACCTTAAGCTGGACTGTGTTTCTGGTTTCTACATTTTATTTATTTATTTATTTTGACGTTTTATATACCGACCCTCTCACCTTCAAAGAGGGATTCGGACCGGTTCACAACATGTGTTAACATACAAAAAATATACAATAACAACACAATGCCACTTCATTACACGATTAAATAGAAGCTACACGAAATGGAAGCTACAGTATTCCTGTATGTATTGACTCAAGCATCTGCTGAGTCACATAGGCGAAGAGAAGTCATCATCTTCTAAACAAATTTACCTTACAGCATTACTTGGGGGAATTTAATCACTTATTTTCTAGGGATTAGTGGGGGAAGAGTTAAAGACACATCATCTAGTAGTTATCTAGCATCCCTTCTAGAATTGGCAAGAGTCACTCAAATGATTTATCTATCCACTATATCATTTCTTTTTTGTTGATCTGACTCCAATGCCAAAGTAATATAGCATCAAGTCATTTTGTTTTGTGCTGAGGCACTAGATTTCTTCCTCATACAATTAGTTATTGTGCTCTCAGAGTTTGTTGAGCAAACATAATGGATGTAACTCACACAATGCTCATAACAATCAGTATCCTTGTATTTTACATGTATGCATTTCACTGGAATCATACGTAAGAACCAACATAACTAATTCAGAAAATGCAGTCTAACAAGTTTTCTATGCATCCCGACAGCAAATGAAACTTAACTAGAATGCAAGAGATTAAAAGTGGGACTTTACATGCTAATTTGTTTACCATGGGCATGGGAAGAAGACTGCTACAATAATTAAGTCATGCAAATAAACCTTTTTTAAGCTGCAAAGGAAATACATCAGTACATACAGATCAAAAAAAGATGTATCTTCACCTCCCCTGTGGCAACCTCATGATTTTTATAGACGAGGAATATAGATCCTGTCTGATTATGGAATCTAATGTAAGATCAGCCCTGGTTAATATTTGGATCGGAGACTCAATGAACACCATATGCTGTAGGTCTTTTCTCAGAGAAAGGAACTGCCAAAAACCTGTCTGAGTATTCCTTGTGTAAGAGAACCCAATGGTATTCATGGGGGGACCATAGGATGATAGGTGAAATGTTGAGCAATAGTGTTCCTTAAAGGATTCAGCTATAGAGATGAGGAATGTCTAGACTCAAGCCCAAGCCTACTCAACAACACTGCCATCTTCACAAACTCTGAAGAAGTTAGGCTAAGAAAAGAAAACACTCCTGCTTGAGGCTTACACTTCACCCAAAACCAAGTTTCTACTAACCAGCTTGGGGTCAGGAGGCAGTTGAAAAAACTGAGACCTTTCTGCAATTATCCTGAACTGCTTCTGGTCCTGCTTATCTTACTGTATTATGTGATCTATTTCAGGTCCAAAATATGGTAAGCATAATTCTACAGTGCTATGAACTATGAACCATCATTCCAGCAGTATTCTGTATGACCTCTTAATCTGTTTCAGAAATGTGGCCCTATGCATGCTTATTGAGCAGGGTATTCCACCTACTCAATAGATTGTAGCCTAATTCTCTCAAACCTTCAAATATTATATATTTAAGGGGTAGCCACAAAAATATTCCTCTGGTTGAAAATTGATCTTAAGTAATCAGTCAATTGACAATTGTTTTATTAGGTGTTTTAAATTTTTATGTTTTCATGTCTCAATGTCCTCTTATCTTAGGGTTAACTGTCTTATTGAATTTATGCTTAGTTATATGTTGTTTAGATTTATGATTTGGCTTTATGTATGTAAGGCATTGCATTTTGCCATTATTTGTTGTAAACCACTTTGAGTCCCCCCCAGGGGTGAGAAAAGCAGTGTATAAATAGAGTAAATAAATAATTATCTGGATTTCACTTGTCAGAATTAACAGGCACAACACTAAAATGGCCAAGAAAGGTATGTGCTCATTACCTTCTGAAACATATTTAAATGAATAGAAGATAATAGGCCTGGGTAACAACGGAAAAATTTGTTTCTAAAATCGATTCATTTTTTGGGGGTTTTTGCGTTTCGTTATTTAAAATAATTACAAAATTTTCCTTTTAAAAAGTTCGATATTTACGAAATTTCGTAAATGGTAAAAAAATAACGAATCGATTTCCGAAACAATAACAAATCGATTCGTTAATGGCGGACGCGACCGCGAAATACGCTAAAAAACCTCCAAAAACTTCTGAAGCTTCCCTCTCCCTCTGTTGTTGACTGTTGGTGTGATATTATAATTTTTTTTCACTAATTAAACAAAAAACAACCATAAAACTTGCCCCAGACATGCGGAAATAATAACGAAACGACCTCAAAACAATAACGAAACGAATACAATAACGAAATACGAAGCATTTACAAAACTATTTAAAAATTCGTTTTTTAAAAAAATTGCTCCAGAATGGTTTGTTATCGTTTTGTAATTAAAAAAATTAACGAATTATTAACGAATTACGAATTAACGAAACGAAACCGCCCAGCCCTAGAAGATAATGTTCTAAGACCTTCTTGTCTCGCAGCAGGTGGTCCATGCTGATACCATCTTCACTAAGGTGATAAGACAAGTGATCCATCATGTCTGAAGTGTGATGAGAAGTCTTCCAAATCAGAGTCATTAGATATCGCAGGTGGACTTAGAAGCAAGGTTGGTTATAGGATATGCTCTAAATATAGCTCTTGTTAGAGAGATTTATTGAATGCA